GCATTAATGTCCTGGAATTTGTCAGACTGGTCAATATCCTTATGCAGGGACTTGGTGTCTGTTGTTGATTATACTTAGTCTATTGATTGCATTGACCAGATGGTTGCTGCGTTTTGCATGTGATGTGATGGATGCTAGTCAGGTCATGTTCTGGATAACCCGACTTTGGTCCAGATCTGCAGGGTACTTTTGACTTAAGTGGTGGTTGGCACAACAGTGTAAGAAAGTGCCTGCAGAAAGTGCCATGGTAAACTGTCTTTTAGGCTCTTTGCTGGAGCTAATAATTAAAGTTGAGATGGGGCAAGAGTCACTTTTCTTAGCAAAGCGAAAGATCAACAGCACAGGTTAGCATCTTCTGGTCATGCATCAAAACATTCCTTCAAGTTAGGTTTCAGTTACCAAACACACAAGACTTCTTCCACCCCCTTGGGTTCAGGGGGTTCTAAATGTCTTGGCAAACCAAGGGAACCAGACCTGCAGCTAAATACATCACCACATGAAGGTCCACCCTTGCCAGTTCCATCAGTGGTGTGCAGACATCTGGTGATTTTCACACAGATTTAGGAAGCTCAAATAACCAATGCCTGGGTACGGGAGATGGTATCAAAATGGAGGCCTGTAAAGGAGACAAAAGAGGGCGCTTGTAAGTGTAGCAGATTAAATAATTTAGGAGTAAAAAAATGCTAAATAGTCACTCACGTGATGTAGGAATAAAAGCCCATATCAAGTTTTAAAGTAGTCATCCATGAGGATCCGGGTCGTCTGAAGCAGATGGCAGCAACAATGCTGGTGTTCAATTTTTAACTAATAAATTATTTAATCTGCTGCACTTAGACATGCCCTCCTATGTCTCCTTTACCCTACTACGCTGTAACAGATTTTTATCTACTCAAAATATTTTTCTCTGTCCCCTGCCTTTGCTTTACATCTTTTAGTTTTTTTTTTTTTTTAGCAGCGCCGGATGGACCTTCTTTCAGCCATTTGAGCATTGTTTGCAAAGGAGGTTATGTTTCCCATTCCCCCAACTGAAAGGTTTTTACTTAAACCTGTTTACAGTTTCAAAACTCGAAGGCAATTTTCATCTCGTTTTGGATTGAAAGACTCTCAATCCCTTTTATGCTTCCTCAAAAGTTAGTTTGGAGTCTAGTTAGTTGCCTCCCTTCATTGAGTAGAATTCTGGGCATCCATTGACATAAGGAATGCATTTTTACACATTTCCACCTTTCCAGGTCATTAGTAAATTCTTTGATTTGCTATGCAAGATGATCACTGACAGTTTGGCTCTAACCTTTAGCCTAGTCTCAGCCCCATAAAGTGTTTACAAAGGTCTTTGCATCAGTTCTAAGCCACCTTTGCCTCAGAGGTATTCTAGTCATTGGATACCTGGTTGATCTGCTGCTGTGAGAACAAATCTCCTTGACTTTGGACTAAAATGTTTCCTCCATCCGGAGGTTTTTGAGGACATGTGACGTAGGTTGGCAGATGTGGGTTTGCATTCTTGGTTCATCAAGAAGCTGAACAAATTTTTTTCTCCAGGATTCTCCAGGATGTGGGTTTAGTTGACAGATGCAGCAGAAGCTTTGGTGTCACTGTGGGATCAGTATGCTGTGATCTATGCATTGCACTGGCTTTGATGACCTGGCTGTTGGAACCCAGGTCCTAAGTGATGGGCCATTTTGGATTTTTTATTCCTGATCATGATTAATGCTGGCAAATTTTCTTTTTGCAAGGTAATCATTGAACATGGAAAACTTATTTTCATTGGTGTGAGGCTTTGGGGGTTTACCTACATGCTTTTTGGGGGGCCTTGCTCTTTCTCTCCTTCAGTTGGGGTTTGAAAAACACTTGGCCCATATCATGGCTAAGATGTCTGTCCTGTCAATCCACTCTTTCAGTGTCCTCTTGCCAACCATTCTCTGGTTTGTACATTTATACAAGGGGTTACACCCGTTGCTCCTTGTAGACTTTGCTTTAAACTGTAGTTTTTAAACCTAGTTTTGTCAGTGCTGCAAAGGCTGTTAATGCTAGTTGTGGGCCGACGGTGAAGTGCAGCAAGGGTGTAGGCAATCCTACCGCTGTGTTTTTGTATTCTGACAGAGGGGAGACTTCCCCTCCATCAGAATACACTGATCAGTGCTGCAGTCTTATCGCCCACAAATCTTAGCAAAAAGTTTCCAACAAGGTGGCTAAACAGAAGTCAGTCAGCAGATTGACTTCTGTTCAGTCACAGTGACCATTCATGGATCGAAATTTGGTCGATCCTTGCTAAACCAGCCAAATATCGATCCATGTATGTTCAGCTTTACTTTTGGTTCTCTCAAGGTGCAGGTGCCTGCTATCAACTTGCACATTTAAATACATCACAGGTTGGATTTAAAGTGAATAATTAGATTTGTTTTTTACATTTTAGAGATATAGCAAATGAGTGTAACTATCTTAATGTACCAGTAATAACCAATATTATTGTGATTTTTTTTAAAAACAAATTTTATTTTTGAAATCGATGTTTCACAGGGAAAGCCATATGTGCATGATGTTTTCAGGCTCTGCTTCTCCTTACTGGCATGCTGATTCTGCTCCTTTTTAAATGCAAAGAACAATACAATGCTTAGATGGTGTATTCAGTTATCTCAGCAGCTGTTTAGTCAAGGGGGCTGATTGAAGACGTTAGAGAGACTGCCACTAGAGTGAAAATATACAAATATGTAAATGAAATGCCCCTCATAAAAATATGACTCTAACAAATGGAAATACACTGCAGTTTACCTGTTAGCTGTGGAATGTGATCATACCACATCATTTGTTCTTAAAGTGTATGTGAACCCAAACTTTTTTTTTTTTGTTTAGTTTAAAATAGAACAGGGAAGGACTAAAACGCGATCAGGTTTTACAACTCCTTTATAAGGTTTTGTGGATTGTCCTACTGGGGAGATTTCTCTTCACTTCCTGTTCTGGAGGCACAACAGGAAATAAGAGGAAATTTTTCCAAGTAAACAGAATTCCCATTGTAAAGTTGTTGCAGGATCAGGTGTCCTCATTGGTGGTTTACCCTTCATTGTCTAGGATCCAAACATGGTTAACAAGTACAAAGAGAGGGTGAAACTCCTCTGTGGGGACACAGACATCAATAAAAGCTCGACACTGTCTAAGCCTTCCCTAGTCTGTTGAAAACTGAAAAAAAAAAAAATATTTGCCTTAACATACACTTTAGAACTGCTCATAGGAATATTAAAAATATCATAGATTTAATTTAAAACGACATGATTATTGATTAGTATATGCTAATGTGCAATGCAAAACAGGGCACAAATCATTCTTTGAAACCATACATCCCAATTAAAGTAATATTGGCAGTCAGTGTTTACAATTACAGTTGCAAATTTGATGCAGTCTTAGTATGCACAAAGTAAATAACACAGTCTAATAACAATTCCTTTTATTCTGGTTGGCACGGGAGGGACATGATGCTGCTGTGCCACAAAGCTGCGTTTTTTTTCCTCTGGAGCTGTAAGAAAAAAAGCTTTATTTTTTTACCTTTTAATCTCCTAACTGGTAACGCTTCTGCACTTGTCATTGCATGATCTTCATTTCATTGTGAGTGTAGTCCATCTCTCATCCTATTTTGCCACTCTCACTGTACTGTAGCCTCTAAGCGAAAAAACCTACAAGGATATCTACAGAAATATATCTTTCTAAAGTTTTCTTTTATCCAGACACTGGAAATTACAGTCAGTGCTTGCTGCAATTGGGCTGTTCCTTTGTACTGCTGTTAATGAGAGCCTTTATAGTGCATTTGAATCTACTGTGAGAGAGGGTTCAATGTGTGTGTATCCATTGCTTTACTGTTAAACGCCTGTGACAGACATAAGGTATACTGCAGACCACTACAACATTGCAGAAACCATGTACGTCATTTAGAAACATTCCACACAAAGGAGTAATAGTCTTACGTATTTCTTGTAGTAAAATAAAAACATAGTCACAATGTAAAATCACTAATGTGAAATTCATGACAGTGGACCTTTTCAAACTGATATTATGATTTATCTCCAAATTTGTGGTGTTATCTTTCAATAAGGAAAAACTTCATTGGTTCCTATATTGAGTCTTATTTATCAACTTACCTCATGGCAAGCAGATTCGTATTCAACCTATGCTGCAAGAATGACAACTGGAAGATGATAGTTTGAATCTGTCTGGTGACTATGGAGCAATGTAGCAAGATCTTGTATAATGCACGTTGATAAATAATGCCCTCCGTATCAGACCGGCACCTCTTCTCCCATGTGAAGGCAGATTCATCCCAGACATCTGGTGCACAGCTTATGGTTTTCAACCGTTCATCTTCAGTCTTTTAATTGGTACTCTGTATAATGGCCTGTAGCAGTTTCTTGTGTGGCTTTTAATGTGAATCGATTTATTTGTATGGTGTAAATGTGTAACTTGTATGTCTAATGATTATCTGTTGTTGCCACACATTTTACACTTTTCTACCATTTCTTGCATCTTTAAAATTTTTTGTACTTTTTCATGTTTTGTAATCGAATGGCAAAGCAAAACCCTGTTTGTTTATGTTTGTAGATTTGAGAATATCTGTGACACATGTTTAAGGGGCTTTTTCAGGAGATAATCAAATGGTGAACCCTTGCTGGAGGACGCTACATCCCTGGCTGAGCACTTCATCTTAACTCAAACATTGTTTCAGTTTTTGCTTGCTTTCTTACCTGCAGCTGAACTGTGTAATTGCTGCCCAACTACAGACATATAAATCTTTGAAAGTAAGCATTACTACTTCTGAAAGGTCAACCAAATTCTATAGAAGAATTGGCCCCTCCACATTAATATACTATTTTTGTGTGTGAGGTTTCCAGCAAGGGTTAAATGTGTTTATTCTGGAAAATCCCTTTTAAATGTGGCAGAAATAGCATGTTTGACATTATTAAATATAACAATATGACAACATTGTAAACTGAAGTTTATTCAAACCTTTTGTATTCCAGGAACCCTACATGGAAGGTGTAAATCCATTCATAAAATGTAACAAGCATCGTATGATCATGTTCTTAGATGAACTTGGGGTGAGTGGAGTTTCTCAGAAAACCTTGACCTTTCTGTATGCAGCAATCTGGAGAAATACACTAACCTGGTGGAAAAAATTATTCCCGCGTGATTTAACCACTTGCCCTCCAGAGGATTTACCCTCCTTCCTGACCAGGCTATTTTTTGCATTATGGCGCTGTGTTACTTTAACTGACAATTGCACGGTCATGCAATGCTGCACCCAAATTAAATTTACCACCTTTTTTTTCCCACTAATTGAGCTTTCTTTTGGTGGTATTTGATCGCCTGTGTGGTTTTTATTTTTTGCGCCATAAAAAAAAAAAAGCCAATTTTGAGAAAAAAAAAAAAACATTTTGGACTTGTTGCTATTAAACATGTCCAGTAAAAAAAAATTAAAAAAATCTAATTTTTTTCGTAAATTTAGGCCAAAATGTATTCTGCTACGTCTTTGCTAAAAAAAAAAAAAAAAATCCTAATACGTGTAAATTAATTGGTTTACATGAAAGTTACAGCATTTACAAATGGCTGTATAGATACTGGAATTTTTTTATTCAACTAATAATGGCGGCGATCAGCAAATTATAGCAGGACTGTGGCAGGCATTCTGATACTGGGGGGAACTGACTTGGTGTTAGACATCCCCAGTGAGACCAATACAGTGATCAGTGCTAAAAAAAAAAAAAAAAGCACTGACACTGTACTAATGGCACTGGGCAGGAAGGGGTTAATATGAGGGGACGATGAAAGGATTACATTGTGCTGGGAGTTTTTTAACGGGGGGGGGGTGGTGTGTGGGCTTTACTGTAATCACACTGCTCTGGGTGGCTGTGCTGTGCACAGCCATCCAGAGCAGTGTGCCCGAGTCAACAGGGAGGACGACTGTTCGCAAACAAAGAAGCCTTCCTCCCCATCTGAGATGCTCAGTAATCACCGGGTGCCGGTGGATAATCACTGGCTGGGACTCGGTGATTGATGGCCGCGAATGGAGGAGCGGGTAGGGCTGCGTGCACCCGCTAGCTGGAAATGCAAAATCACTTATTTGTGGTTTTGCGCACCCCTGCCGCCCTGTAGCAGTGTATCTGCTATAGGGCTGTGGGGATGTGGTTAAGATGCAGAGTATTCACAGAGCAGTGTTTTATTGTTACCGTTTATCAAAACAAAACTACACTCCTTTTTTTTTTTTTTTTTTTTTTTTTTTTTATGGTAGATCATCTGTGGGCAGCTGTGGTAGGTGGGTTTGAGGTCTCTAAAGCAAACATTCACCCAAAAGGGGAAGTTCCACTCTTCCTCCTCCTACCCTTCAACTTTTGGGGGGGAGAACAGGTACCTGGTTTGGACAGCCTTAGGCAGTCGCAGCTAGCTGTCCACATTTACCATGGCCGGGAACCTAAGAATGGTGTATAAACTGGTTTGGGCTGGATCACTGGATAGGTGAGTTTTATTAAAAGTGAGCAGCTACAGTTTTTTGTAGCTGCTGACTTTGGTTTGTAATGCAGTTCTTTGATTATTTTAAAAAAATAAATAACTCATTATTACTCAGTAGTAATAAGCTGAGGGTTTAATGGCTTTCAGCATAATACATATCGAATAGTAGTCAGTCGTATTCAGCTGGACTTGTTCTGTAATGCTGAAGATGTTTCATCACTTATCCAAGCCATTCTTCAGTTCTGATGACTTGCAGGAAGATACCACAGCATTTATATCCACACAGGTAGCACCAACACCTTGATTCAGTTGCCTAATTAACATTATTGATTCAAATGAAATGACAAAACCTGAAAAAAAATACATCTAACCACATTTATTAACCGCCTCCCGCCCGCCATATAAGGTAATGACGGGCGCAAGGCGGTTCTCTCGTTCTGGGTGGATGTCATATGACATCCTCCCACTCTAACTGCGCGTGCTACAGCGCAGCAATCGGTGGTGCGCTGTGTCCCTGGGACACAGCAGATCAACGGAAAGAGCCGATGACGTTGGCTCTGTTATGTGATCAGCTGTGTCCAATCACAGCTGATCGCTTGTAAATAAGGAAGTGCTGACAGCTCATAAGGAGAGGAGAGCAGAGCCGGTAATCGGCATTACTCAGAGGGGACATGTACACTAATCATCAGGGCACTGATGATCAGTGTAGCCCCATCATTGCAACCTGTCAGTGCCACATATCAGTGCTCGTCTGAGCTGCCTTTTAGTGCCGCCAGTCAGTGCTACCTATCAGTGCCATATGAGTGCTGCCTATCAGTGCCACATATAAGTGCTCGTCTGAGCTGCCTTTCAGTGCTGCCAGTCAGTGCCATATGAGTGCTGCCTTTCAGTGCCCATCAGTGCTGCCAGTCAGTGCCATATCAGTGCTGCCTGTCAGTGCCCATCAGTGATGCCTGTCAGTGCCCATCAGTGCAGCCTATCAGTGCTCATCACTGCAGCCTCATTAGCGCACATCAGAGAAGGAGAAAAATCACTTATTTACAAAATTTTATAACAGAAACTAATACGTTTTTTTTTTTTTTTAATTTTCAGTTGTTTTTGGTTTGTTTAGCAGAAAATAAAAAATCCAGAGGTGATTAAATACCACCAAAAGAAAGTTCTATCTGTCTCAAAAAAATGATAAAAATGTCATATGGGTACAGTGTTGCATGACCGCGCAATTGTCATTCGAAGTGCGACAGCGCTGAAAGCTGGAAATTGGCCTGGACAGGAAGGGGGTGAAAGTGCCCTGTAGGCAAGTGGTTAATAAGAATAATTGACACTAAACTTGTAGCCTTACTAATCTGATATTTTACCTGTAAAGGTGCAAGTCAGGTTTCTTTGTATACAAGCACAAGATGCCTCATAAATGTGTAGCCTTTCACAGTAGAATAAAATAATTGTTCTACAGGGGAAGTACGTGGACAGGCAGAAACCTAGATGGCAATCATCTCATTTGTGTCTTTACTGTTGGTAAATATGGAATGTAACATTTGTTGATAATGTTGCTAAAGGGACCATGAGAGCCTAGGAATATGAAAGGTGTAACTGCTAACTTGTTTTACTTAAATATTTTTTGAAATTTTCTATCGTTACTGAAATTTTTAACACCTGGGAACTTTACTGTACTTTGTTTTAGAAGAATCCTAAGGAAGTATGTGGGGATTTGTTGCAGTTATCCACAAAAAACCAATAATTGGACTGATTTGTGGAGTTTTTTTTTTTTTTTCTTTTTAAAGGTGAAGGTTCTAAGACTGTCATCCTGACTTCATCTACTTAGCAAGTCTCTGGCCTAAAATGTTTATGCAGGGCAGAAGTTCAGACTTAGTAGGTTGCATGCTTGTTCCAAGTCAGTGACTCCGTATGTAGTTGAAGTCAGTGACAGTCCCAATTTCAGTTGCTTACACTTACATTCTTACATACACAAAGCCTGTGTTATACGCATTTTTTTTCTTCTCTTTCACCTCCATTAGAATGTACCTGAACTCCCTGATACTACTGAGCACTGTAGGACTGACCTGTCCCGTAACCTGGCAGCTTTGCACGAAATGTGTGTGGCACATTCTGATGAACTCCGAACTATCAGCAATGAGCGAGGAGCGCAACAGGTACTCGTTAAAGTCTAAGGAAAAGCAACGACAGCAAAACTTCAATGAAGTCAGTAGGGGTTCAGGAAGTTTTGTTTTGTGTTTTTTACTTTGGACTCTTCTGTTTCTGCATATATATGCACATTTCATTGGTTTAGCTGTCAGAAACCTGCTCCGCCTGATTGTACAGTACAGCTTCAGGAGAAGCACTGCATGTAGAACAGTACAAGTATAGTATATAAAAATGGCTAGGTTTTCATTCACTGAGGTTCACCAGTTTTGAGTTGGTTTGCTAGCAAGTGTATGATTTGTATTATAGTCTGTTGTAAAATGATTTATTTTTAGTTCTATGTTGTAGTCCCATGCATTGAATGTCTTTATTTTTTATTTCCAACAGCATGTTCTCAAAAAACTTCTGGCAATAACAGAGCTTCTCCAGCAGAAACAAAACCAGTATTGTGTATCAAACAATACCAGGTAGCATATACCTAAATGGAGCTTGCATGTGAACACCTGGAAATTTCCATCACAATATCACTTCCTATTGCTCTTTCCAAAAATAGCACAGAATAGCCACATCTGTCCTGTCATGTGGGACTATGCAGTAAGCACTCTTTGCTGACAAAAATGTGTGTGCGCCAGCAGTGTGGAGATAGGTCTCTGAAAGAACGGGTCACACTCGGAACTGACATGTACAAACCTCTGAGCCTCTGTCTGTTGATCTCAAGAAGAACTCCAGTAAACTGTATTATGCCAAAGTCTACAATCTGGTGGCTGATGGTGGGCGCAGTCTGCTATTCAGCAGCCATTTATAACTGGATTACAAGCTATTTTTATACTGGTATTTCTAATTGGTTTCAGATAGTATTGCTTGCGACTGTTCAACCAACCTGACATGTTCTTTGATTCCCAAAACTGACAAAGGAACAAGTGCTATTATTTTTGTGTACTATCTTTCTGGGATCAGATTATGAAAGACTTTTTACGTGCCACTGATATTCTATGGTAGATTTTTTTTTTCGTCCAGACTATGTATAATGAAAAGCTTTTGTAAAATGTTTACACTATTGATTTCATTAAATTTATTGTTGTATCTGATGTGCATGCATTAAACATTTTGTAAAGTATTTTGTGGTTTATTCTATTAAAGATCACCATTATACACCCAGCTTTTAGTCCTACTTTAGCTCAGTGTGATATTGTGTGTAAAGTCCTTTTCAAGGTTTTCTTACTTGTGTGGCATTATTTGCTTAGTGCTGAATACATTTCTTTTCAGAAATTCTAGTAGTTTTGCGTGAACCTGAACTTTGCCTGTGGATGGCAAATCAACCAGTTAATATAATGTTCGCCTCTATAGCAGCTTATATTCAACGATTTTCTGCCTAGTGGACTGGCAGAGTGTTATACAGGTCTAAGGTGGTGACTTGCCATGATGGGTCCCCCCCATTTCCCAGACTGGTGAAGTCTGGTGGTTACCCTATCAGTGCTTGTACCCAAGGATAATAAAGGGGGAAGGTCCTTCAGGGAAACTGTATGCTTAGTTGTTGTGTGCCTCCAGTACTGTTCTCCCTCTCCTTTTAATACGCTGCTATTTTCTTCTGTTAAAAAAGGCAGCCTCCTGGCTGCCCCAAGTGTCATATAGTGAAGCTGTGGGGTGGCCCAAGAGTGCCTTTGTTGAGGGTGTGGAGTAGGTCTCCTCACCCACATTTGTGTTCTCAAGGAAGTGCACTGTGTGGGCCAGTGATGTTACACAGAGTCAACTGGAAGCTGCCTTTGTGGAAGACTGGACTGGTACAGGGTAGTGCATCTCTACAATGATTATTGACTATAAGATGAATGAGCACTTATAAGGGTCAGTAGTTATCAAAATGTGGGACTGCCTTGGACACTTTGCCACCCTAGTTCTGAGCAACAAGGGTGTCTGATTCAGTACCCACTCCTCTCAGCTGACAGGGACGTCTGTTAAATAGCATGAGTCCAGTATTAGACTAGGTATACACTTGTAGAATGGAAAATCTTTCTTGAATGTACACATTACCAAATGAAAACCACTTACACTAGTAGAAAAGTCATTCCTAAATCAAATGTTAAAAGAAAACAATATTCAAAAGTTCTGAAAATATCCATTCAAAATTCTGCTAATATATACCCAGCTTTAGTGTCAGCAGCCCATGTCTGAGCAATGGTGGTGGTGGGGAGGGGGAATCAGGAGCAGGGAGGGTTCCCAAATTTCTCTCTCCTAAAGAAAGACACCTGGGTGTAGCTCTCTTTCAACTATATTCCCTAGGGGTCCGTTAGGTCCTTGTGGCTCTGATTCCATTTTCCTTTCTGGTGTTATTAGTACCTTTAGGGCACCTTCCTTTTGGTTCCCTTATTTCAAGGGAAGAATTATCATTTGATATTACTGGTCTACAATGCCAGCTTTTCAGATTAGACAGTCTTGGTCACAAATTGAAATGTTTCCCTTCCCCTCCCTATTAACAGGAGGATCTTGCGGATGAGTTGACCAACCAGAAAAGATCTTTTCTAAAAGAGGGAAACACAGAGAAATCCTCCTCAGAGGAGTCACAGGGTCAGGTTTTATCCCAGATATAGGAGTTGTCTGCTATCCCAAAGGTCACAGGATTGGGACTGTGGCATCTGCTGCTGCACCCTCAGACCCTGAATGTGGCGATACTGAGTCAGGCAGATACCTGGAGGATTTTCCCCCACACCCACAGTTTCTCACTGGATGACTTAATGGACTCCCAACTGTTCTTCCAGCTGGGCATCACACCTTCTGGGGTCACATGCCTTTTCAAGGGGAATGTTTTGTTCAGTCCTGCTCTGGATGATTACATCCAAAAGTAACTGCATAAGTGTACTCTGTTGCCATTAAGAAAAAAAAAAAAAAGGCTGAAGTCCATGACACAAAAGCCTGCCACACTTGTTTACTTAAAAAAACAAAATAACATTCCTTTCATCAAACATAAGCCTCAGGCTCCAAGCCCCAGCTGCAAAAGAGGACCTGGACTCCAAAGCTCCCTAAGCCAGGTGACAAGTCCTCCTTGCAATGAAGTTTGGGTTGGGGGATGTTTGCAGGCTTTTGCAAAAGTTTGGCAGGGGTCTTTCAGATAAGAAACTGATAAACACAAAAAAGGACTATTCTTTTCCAGGCACCCTATATCAGGAAGTGATCATTCCAGTTCCACAAAACTGTTTCTACTCAAACCTTTATATGTTTCTGAAACAGAACAGCTATGTCTGTCCCATTCTGGATCTATGGATGGTAAACTTCACCATTTGGGGATGCCACAGATGCACATCTATTGGCATCGAGCTACAACAACAAAGGTAGACAGGTTCAGGGTTTCAAGGTCTTTGCACTGGTCACACTGATGATCCTGTTCTGGCTACTATACCCCTTCCCTCTACTACTTCCTCCACTGCTTTGCAGAATCAGGATGAAGGGGTATTCTGGTGCTCTCGGTGGCACCAAATTGGCCCTGAAGGATTCAATACTCAGACATCCTCTGTCTCCTGGGAAACACATAGACACTTGCAGCCTGTCCCCAATTGCTGGCTCAAGGACCAGTCTACCATCCTGCTTCACAAAACCCAAGTCCTGAGAGATTGAGTTCTTTCTGTTATTCCTACGCTGCTTATAGTTACAAATGGACCTCTCAAAAGGATTACCATATCCATAGGATAGAATTCCTCCTTTCTTCAAGTAGATATCCAGCGTTTAGTGAAGTTTAAATACCTATCACCTCATTTTAGCTACATACATAGTATGCAGCTCTGTGTAAGTCAAAACACTGTGCAAAGATGAGAGCCCACACAGGATCCAGGGGGGCTCTGGGTATGACTTCAAAAATTTTACAGAGGTTCTGCCAAACCAGATACACTGCTTGTATATTGGTATGAAAAGACAGGGTTGCCTCACTGGTTTCCTCAAAAACTTTGTCAGTGTCCAATCACCTGAAGGTACACACCTTTAATCACTTGCCCTCCAGAGGATTTACCCCCCTTCCTGACCAGGCCATTTTTTGAGATACGGCACTGCGTTACTTTAACTGACAATTGCACGGTCATGCAATTTGTACATAAAAGAAATTAATGTCCTTTTTTCGTTTTTAATTTTTGCGCTATATACTGACAATTTTGAAAAAAAAAAAATATTTTGTTTTACTTTTTGCTATAAAACATCCAGTAAAAAAACTTTTAAAAATCTAATTTCTTCATAAATTTAGGCCAAAATGTACTCTGCTATATGTCTGCTAAAAAAAAAAAAAAAAATCCCAACATGTGTAAATTATTTGGTTTATGTTCAAGTTATAGTGTCTACAAATTGCAGTATATATACTGGAATTTTAATTTAATTTTTTTTTATACCAGTAATGGTGACGATCAGCGGTGGGCATTCTGACACTGGGGGGAGGGGGAACTGACTGCCACTGATATCCCCAGTGACACTAATACAGTGATCTGTGCTAATAAAAAGCACTGACACTGTATTAATGACACTGGGCAGGAAGGGGTTAACATCTGGGGCAATTAAAGGCTTAACTGTGTGTTACTATGTAGACAAGTTGCTTTGTATTGCTCTGCTATGCAGAGCAATACAAAGCAGCCTGTTCGTGCTGACGGGAGAGATCTGTGTTGTTTACATACAGACCTCTCCCGTCAGCTCTGCCGATGATCATCGAGTTCCAGCCAAGAATCGGCGACTGGGACCTAGTGATTGACAAGCCGAGGAGCCAATAGCGGCGCGGGTAGGGAGTGTGCACATGCACCCCCACACACACACACACACACACACACTCTCTCTCTCTCTTTGCATATCCCTGCCCCCCCTGTAGCAGTATGTCTGCTAGAGGGCAGGTGGGAAGCAGTTAAACCCATGGTGTCATAATAATCTGCCTCTGTTCTATACTGTACAATTATGATGAGATTACAGTAACTACAAAAGTGTACAGTATTTTTCTTCCTACTACTAAACTGACTTTTTAGATCTATTCTACAACGTGAGTAAGCCCCTTGAGGGTCTAGTCCGCATTCCCCCACCACTGGAAGTTTCAGAAATGTTCATGGAAATTTGTAGGCCTGTAGGCCATACATGATTTATTTTCTTTCAACCTGTGGGTTGAACAAAAGAAAATTAATAGATTCCCCCCATCTGCACACTCGATGTGAATCTGTCTGGGGGCTATTCTGAAAGTGGGGAGGCTTCCCCGCCATCAGAATACACTCATCATTGCCGGCAGCAATAATCCAGCAAAACTTTTCCAACAGACTGGTTGTACAGAGGTCAATAGAGAAACTGACTTCTGTACAACCAAACTGCCCATAGATGGAATGAAATTTGGCCAGTCCTGGGGCACATGTTTGAGGCTGCCCAAGATGGTCGCAGAGTGAGCTAGCTCCGCTTACCTCAGGCACTTGAGAGTCCTAGCTACTGGCCTGATACCATGGCTCCGCCAGACAGGACTAGGCTAAAGC